TTATTTTAAGAAAGTCACTCAAAAGGGGTAACACCTCACACTGTGTGCATTGCTGAATTTTTACGGACAAATTTACCAGTAAAAATTTGTCAATTGGGAGAATACTGTATCACAATGTTAACACACAAAATGCCATCACTGTTTGCTAAAATAGCATATACGATTTATATCAACAAATATATCAATCAACATTCAAATTGTTTCAGGTTCACTTCATTGGTGACTGACACTGTAGCATTGGACACTTGGTTTATTCTTCAGCGATTGCTGTAAAAAACAACGGTACAGTGTAAAAAATTGTATTTTAATTTACTTGCTTATTAAATAAGATTACAGTACTATAACATGCTAAAAAATATAAATTAATTGTACAGTACTCTGTTAACTGGTATTCTTACCGCGTTTTCTCCGCTTTGGCTGCTCAACCTCATTTTGTATAACGGGTATCGTTGTTGTGAAGTGTGCCCTCATTATGGACAAATTCTGTTTGGCTTTGTCAGGCATTCCACTAACAAACCGTCTTCGTTTGTTGAACACAGCATGAATTGCTTCTCCGCCCTGTTCTCCAAGTAGGCCAACCCCAAAGTGCCATTTTTTCACTTGTTCTATCACATGCTGCTCAAGCATATGTAATTTTGGCGTCACTGACATCCCAGTTGTTCTGTATGAGACCATAAATTTCTTAATGTATGTTTCTGTAAATAAAAAGACAAATTGTAATCCATATTAAACTGTATACCAAGGTTTAAACCATAATTATATAAGGTTTTAATGAATATACTTGCCAAGATGATAAATTTCTGCATCATTCATGAAGTTGCAATGGTTCATGCTATTGTGAACTTCTCCATATAGCAAAAATAGGTCTTTGATTTCTTCAAGCTTCTTTAATTTTGTGGCTACTAGCCTCATTTTTCCAATGCCAATCTTATCTTCTATTTTGCTTTTTACAACTTCTTTTGGAACTTTGAATAAATCATGTATTACTGGAACTTAATGAAATTAATAATAAAAATATTTATTAATTGATAATGGTAATTATTACTTGTTTATAATTACAATTTATTATACAATACAATTAAATAAAAACAACTGTACCTGTAGTGCTTTATGCACATGGTTGCCATTGAAAGCCTTTCCATGATATTGTTGCCGTTGAATTTTGTTACGTTGCAGAAATTCATCCAGTGCATTAACGATAGGGCCTGTGCCAAATGGCAAGTCATTATCTAGAAGTTTGTCCTATTGAAAAATATAAATGTATTGATTGAAACAGTATATTAACAACTCATTATAACAGACTGCATAGTTTCACAAAAAAGTGTTTAATCAAATTAAAATAGGTTCTATTTTAATTTGATTAAACACTTTTTTGTGAAACTATGCAGTCTGTTATAATGAGTTGTTAATATACTGTTTCAATCAATACATTATAACAGACTGCATAGTTTCACAAAAAAAGTGTTTAATCAAATTAAAATAGGTTTTCCTATGGTTATTTTGTCAATACATACAATTTCTTAATAATACATACAATTTTAGACATTTCTTCCTTTGCCTTTATTATCTTTTCGATTTCTTTCTCAATAGATTTTTTGTCATCTCCTTGGTAGAAGCTTAAAGGAAGCCCATCTTCAATTTCTTCTATCAATTTCTCTCTCTTTTGCTTCAAATCTGTAAATTATAACATATTATTACAGCCGTAACTAAATATCTTACTAATTACAGATAATTTGAAAAAATGGATGCAAGGTCGAACCCAGTGGAGTCGTCACAGTGTCCAACTGCAGAATGATTGAAGGTAAATACATATCTACTGTACTTAGTTACCTGATTTTTCTTTTACTTGAATCTTTATTCGCTCACTGAAATCATCTAATTCATCATCGTCATCATCATTATCATCATTTTCGGCAATATTTACTTGAGATTTGTATACAATCATGTCGATTTCATGGGCATCTGTTTCCAGCTTCTCATATAGCTTCTTGAAAATCCCCAAGGATACATGAAGAGACGGAACAGAAACCTAAAACGAAATGTAAAATACATTATAATTATAACTAACCCTTAAAAATATGAATTGTATGCCGAATTTTAGACACAGAATGCTTACATGATCAATTTCAGTGTCTACTAGGGGCTTCCTTATGACACATCTTGACACTTCTTTGGCCATTTCTTCCCTTCCATCTTCTAGAAATTTTGCATAATCCTGGTTGATTTGCATTAATGTCCGGTGTTGTAATGGTTTTTCTCCATCTTTGATTTCCTTCGCAGTTTGTGTACAATAAAGGCATGGATAACGTGCTTTTGGAAGAATGTACAATAAATTTTATTAAACAGCCAATACCATTTTTCAACTTCTATATACAGTATGAATTTTTTAAATGTAATTCTTTATAATAATAATATTTATCTTTCTAATATAATTCTTTTTGATATTATGAATTTTAAACTTTCCCTTTTGTATTTGAATTTGATATTTTTCTATTTTGCATGTTTTTTGATATTGTCCGTTTTAATGTTCTTTGATGTTTTGATATTCTATATGTTTTCTATATTAATTGTAGTGTACTAAAGACAATTTTCTGATATATTTTATATTAGACCCAATAAATGCTGTGGATAGCAGCGCATTCATTCATTCATGAATACGACAATCCTTACTAAATAATAAGTACTGTACTGTATATCAACCCCTAAAGTGCTTACCATTAGGTCCAAGAAGCCCATAGAGCTTTGTAAGGTAGGCATAGTCGCCGAAACCAAACAGCCTTAGAGTATAGTCCCTGCGTATTAATAACATTAAAAAAATCAGCAATTCAATTAGATTGCTAAATGAAATTTATTGACTTAAATTTAAAAAGATAGTATAAAATTGTATAATTTACAGATTGTAAATCTTTTACTAACACAAAATTGTAAAAATATCTTTTTCAATGCATTATTTACCTCCATTTGGTCCCATCCATTTTTGCAATTGCATGCGATATATTTGGCAAGGTTGCCTCTATGTTGAACATGCAATCTGGCGCCTCAAACAGGAGAACGACTACAACGTTTCTGGTTGCATTTGGATTTTTTATGTTGACAATTTGTATTTCAAATTTAGTTGACCCACCCCCCTGATCCTCCCCAAATTTCAGCCATATTTCTCCATTGTGTGGCACAAGATTATTCAGCCTGCAAAATTAAATCATAATTATATAGTATTTAATTTTTTTTATTTACAGAAGTAATGGTAATGGTTGGAGACTTATATAGCACATAATACGCTGTCTCTATGCGCTTAACAGAAAAACAGAAAATACAATCTATCCTAGAGTGTAACCTAAGCAAACCAAGCTGAAAAAACAACCGAAACAGATTAACGCATTCAAATTAAATTTGTATTGATGTCAACCTATACATCCTGAAGTAGATGACCATTAGAAAGGTATCACAATGATTTGTAAATACACTTACATTAAATGTTGTTCTAAGTGAGAGGTGACAGTTCCGTGAACGTCTGTCATCCACACCACAGCACACTGTGCAAGACGGAATTCGTCATACCTCGATGAGCGTTGCATTAACTGCATAGTCGTGGCTACAAATTTGCCATCAATTAGTTCTCTTTGTCTCTGCCGAATCTTTCTTTCTGATGGGATACCACAACAAGCTGAATAGCTGTAAATATACAGAATAAATTTTAAATATTTTTTTTTCTATAAACCTAATTTTATCTCTTACAATCCGTCTTACTAAACACTTATTAAACGTTATTCTCACCAAATTTAAATGATTGACAATTTTATTTATTTGATTGGTCTGTATTATTTATTCATACCGTTTTATTTTTCTCAGCTGTTCCCATGTGACATTACAGTCTGTTATCAAGGCAAGGGCCTTATCAACCGTCATTTGAGAACTCTCTATATTAGCTGCAATCAGATGTTCAGATGAAGCATTCCGAAGCTGATTGATTATATTTTGTTTACCATCATCATTATTGACTTGACGGGCAAGATCTTCAACCTCGCGGTTTCGCTTCATTAGTGTTTTCTTGGAGACTTCTGAACTCTTATATGTGGTGTTGGTTATAAGAGTAACCTTTCTGGGCTGAAATATGAAACAAGCAATATTTTTGAAAATAAGTATTCAAACAATCACATGCAATGACAGTGCAGAGTGACATTGTTCCTACACCAACTAATGAGCAAACATGAATTCATAACAAAAGTGACTGTATGGTTCTATTGGATAATACATACCCTTCCAAATGTTTGGATTTTGTGCTGGCCATCATTTTCTTTCAGGTTTTTGAGAAGTACTTTATCAGATAGTTGTTGAATTGACTTGTGAATTTGAGTGGTTGTCTCAACAGCATATAATAATTTTTTTGACATAGATGAAAGTTCTGTTGTTTGCTGAAATTCTTGCGCGTTCGGAATGCATGTATGCTTAGATGTTTCTGCAATTATTACACGACACTTCGGCTGCAAAAAGTGCCTCTTTTGCTAAAGTTTGTGGCAAGTTGAAATTATTAAAATTCAACAAATAATTACAAACAAAACATGGAATTTGCTTCCGTAAAATAGTACAAAATACGGAGTTCACACAATCGTAACAAAAGTTGTGTCCACATGTACTAACTATGTAATTTGGACATAAAACTTTGTCACAGATAGAAAATGAATAAATACTGTTCATTGCTAGTAATTTAAAGTTACGATGCTGATGGTCACATGGCAAATTGGGTTTTGGCGTTACTTCTATAGCGTTCTTGTATTTGATTCTAGTATAGGCTTGCGATTGTTGTCTGTACATAAAACATGTAATGCAGCTGCTAATAGAATGATTACGAAAGTTAAAGATCAGTTTGCATCCATCCTTGTAGCTCCGAAGGTTGCAATTCCTGCAAATGAAGCTAGGAAAAAATTCGTGATTGTAGTTAAATGCTAATTTAAGATCCACGCGTGAAGCCCATTTTCTATCCTTTCCCACACGAGCTGTAGATCGAAATTTTTTTCCCACAAGCGCAGCATATGCCTGCAACAGCTGTTGTGTGGTATTCCATCTATAAAAAAAAATAAATAAATAATAAATTAATATTCTATATATACTGTATTTATTGTATTAAGTTTTGTATTTTTTAAATGACATACTGTATTTTAATACTTGCAATTTTGTTTATAATATTTTAATAATTTACATAAAATAAATTCATCTCAGCCTTTGTATATTTTGTGTATTTATACCTGAATAAATTAATACATATCTGAACTGACATAATTGATGATTGAGTGTCTCTTTTTATCAATGATTTTTGCCCCAAAATACCAACAGTACTGCGCTACACCAATTAAGTAGGCCTAGCTATGGACACGCACTGCTGGCTTTGTTTACACACGCAAATATTATCACTTGACCTTCAACCCAATTTCCATGAACTGGAGGTCTTTGGCCTAGCCATCCCTAGCCCCGCGGTTACAGTCGTGAGTGACAAAACCGCTGTATTTATGTCGGTTGGAAATTTATTAATTGCGTTAATATATTAAAAAACGACATTTTTTGTTAAACTTGTTTACAAATATTAGTAATTGTAGTAAAAAAATATCGAAAAGATAATCTGAAAATAGTTGACGATTTACCGTAAACGGTTTTCTACGATGAAAGTTCGTCTGCTATTTATTCCCCGCTCGCCGGCGCAGGGGAATCCATTCTAGGCTCTGAATACTGGACTCGATTGAGCCTCTAATTGTGAAATATTACGAGTGTGTGGTGTGTTTTTGTTAACCTTCTCAATAATTTAGACTTGTATTTTAACTAAATATTAACGTGTTTTAATATTCTCATTAACTTAATAAGGGCTAATAAGTAATGTTTTGTCATAGTGTTTTCATGCATCAGCGTGATAAACTCGCTTGCCGATTTCGATAACAATAACAAACGATGACGTCACCCAGAGGCTTCGTTCCAACATAAATAAGGAAAGGCGCTGTAAGAGCTTTTCTTCCGCACTGAAACAGTTGATATCAACATAGAACAATAGATCATTAGTTTACAAATTACGATAATCAGTTCTGTCTGTCACCATCGGTACTACAAACAAGTATTCAGTATTGCATATAAAGACAATTTTGCTTGCAAGGCTATCAATTAGGCTGCCGCAGTGCGAAAAAGCTGCTGTTTTCTATCCGCACTGCCGCATAATTCATATATATACATAGGCCTATATATACATATACATATATATATACATACATATATACATATAAATATATAAGATATACGTATATATATAGGCCTATACACACATATACATATACACATATACATTTATATATATATATATATATATATATATATATATACTATACATATACATATATATACTATACTTATACATATACACACACACACATACACACACATATAGGGCCCAAACCAGTCCCACGACCACTAATGATTACAGAGCCAAACCAAGGCAATATATATATATATATATATATATATATATATATACAGTCCAGGTGTGAATGCAAATAGTGGAATACAAGCTATGTGGCTCGGTTCCAGT